AGAACTTTTACCAGGAGAAAACTCTAAAAGTAGAGCGATCTAGTCAAATTAGACTTATTTTTCAAAAAAGCATGTGGAACATGGCTTTCCAGAGATCCAATGTCTTTGGGTTACTTTTAGGATTTTCCTCTCAAACCGAAATAAAACCCTTGACTACCGTGGAAATTATTTAAATTCATAGAAAAATTGATTATTATTGGAATAAGTTTAATATTTGCTGTTAGTTGAGGGACCAGAGACCTTCATCCATATAAATCCACGCTTTATCGAGAAAAATGAAGATGTTTCTCTCATTTAAAAATGATTGATCAATGAATGCTTTTATTCATTAGGGATAAACGGAAAACAGTCTTTGCAAAAACTGCTCTCCAACTGAATCGGGTCGTCCTAATTTATTAGATTTCCAAGTCACACCTATAGTGAGGGTACCCTTCCGCCGCGTTTTTGTTAAAACTTTTCGTTTTAAGCTGATATAGCATAATGTAGACGTCTGGGCTATAAAATGAGACCACTCAGGTCTCCACGACCTTCCTTGAAAAAACGATGAAGTTTTTAATTTTTTCCGTCAAAGCCTAGAAAATCTCAATTTTTTAGCTTCGAAGAATTTTCTCTCCTGTCCGATATATTCAAAATTTCTTCTTATAAATAGCATGGTTAAACAACGTGTGACCTTCAAAAATGAGATGTCTTCCTCATTTTTCCGATGAGTTTTCATGGAGCATCACAGCAAATGTTCTAAAAAACTGAGTCCTGTGTACAATATGTGTTTATCTCACTACACATGTTTTCGGTCGACCCTTCAATCCAGTCATATTGCGACTCCTCGAAAAAATGGTCTGATCGAGTTCAAGTTTTTATCACAAAGACTTGATACCCTCTCTTAGGTTCTAAATTTTTTTAAGCGTTTTCAATTTCAACTTTCGGCGTGAGAAGGTTTCTAAAATAAGAAGCTGGTTTTCAAAAAAGATTTTCATTCAACTTTCTCAGGAGGGAAAGCATATTTTTGAAAAGAAAAATTTGGAATCTGTAGTTTTCTTTTAGAGTGAACAAAGTTATTTCTTCTTTTTAAAGGTTCGCCGTTTTACTCTCTACAAAACATATATTAAACGACTTTTTACATACGTTAAAAGATTGAGGAAGAACGCTTTTTCTGACATGTTCTTCTATCGGTTTTCATCCGGTCACATTAAGACTCCTCGAAAAAATGGTCTCATCGAGCTCAAATTTTTATCATAGATACTTTAGACCCTATCTAAGGTTCTAAATCTTTTTAAGCGTTTTCAATTTCAAGTTTTGGCGTGAGAAGGTTTCTAAAATTATAGATGCTGGTTTTCAGAAATGCCCGTTTCGCTTCCGAAATCACCCAGTTTTTTTGAAAAATTTACAAAGGATATTTTCCTGATCATAATTTTCTGCACTGTTAACGGAAATAGGTTTCAAAATTATTCTACAGAAATTCTCTATACCATACTCTATAGAGACCTCGTTGTAAACTGGAGTTACAAAATATTGAAGGTACATAATTTCGATTATTTTTCTGTGTGTCAATCAAAACCATGCCATTTACGAAAGGTTCAACAGTTCTAGTAGAAAACTAACGATTTTGGAAGCCACTATATTGTGAGCCTATGAAAGGGCTAATCCATAGAAAAGTTAAAATTCAATAACCCGGGACTGAAACGAGTTATAAAAGTAAAACTTTGTATGAATATCACAGATATACACTTTTAATTTTGTTGTGCTTAATAAATAAAAATGCTTACGATAGACAAGTATTAACGGAGTACGCCAAATGTCCATTACGGCCAAGTTAAGCCTATTTGTTAGAAACATCGTCCTTCCTGAAGCACTGGAGGTTTCTTTAGAAGAACTGCAATTTTTTTCCTGGAAAAGTCGATGTTTCTGCAGAAGAACTTTTTTGTTAAAACAAAAAATGTTTGAACCGTACGGAAAACTTTTGCGGCAGTAGTGCATTTGTGAATGGTCATATCAGCCAACCGAGAATTAAGTAGGTTCAAACGAACTGTACGAATAAAACAATAGGATTATTACCGCTAAAAGTGATAAATTAATATGGGTATTAACACCACTAGAATCCAAAAAAATTTCATGTATAGCTGCATTTTGTTTCATCATCCTAAACTAAGTTTTCGTAAACTCAATATATCGAGCTGAAATTATTATTGTCAGCTGCCTAACCCGAGGTCAACCTACTCTGAAAACTGTGATAAGAAGGATGGTGGCACAAAACAAAGCAGATTCTTAAATGTACCTCAACGTTATAATCAAACAGTGAACTTCTATTTCGGAGTACGTACGTCCACTATGGTATACTCACCAATACACGTCCAGTTTAGTATAGTCATCAATATCTTTTTCCGTTCATTCTTTCACCTATACGTATGTATATATGTCAAAAATAATAGTAGAACACGACAAAACGAATGTTAAATAAATCGAAACTTTGGAAACTGAAAATGTTTAAAATCGCTGCTTTAGCTTTACTTTTCTTGATGCTTACTTTAAGCAAAACTATCTGGAAGGCTTTTGTCAAAACAATTCTAGGCCTAAAATTTCATCGGGAAGGTAAAAGGTGAATTTGTCCGAATATAAACGCGGGCTTACAATTTATTAAGAAAACCATAAATTGCGCCGTTTCTAGAATAGATGTCTTACCCACACTTTTTCCGAATGAATGGCCACACAGCTGCCAATCCCCGACGGTTCTCTAGCATAAACGCCTAATTTCTACAACAAATGGGGTAGCCATTTATTACTCTCCAGCATAAGCGCTCCTTCTCTTCATTCAACAATGCTTCAATAAAATTTAACCACGATATTTCACATGATATTGGATGATTACCCTCTATTTGGACCAACAACTGAAATGTGATATAAAATCGTGCAATGTCACTGAATTATCTCACTTATTATTAAAAAATTTATCGACATTTTCACTCAAGATGGAAAAGTCGATTTCGATGTTAGTATCTGGTAATGCTTCTGAAGTTTTACATTTCATCACAGATTACATATCTTTTCTAATTGTTTCTACTTCTTCAAAAACAACTAACGGCCATGTTTATAAAGATTATTCAGTAAATTGACAATAGTCGTAGTTCTGATAAGCCACTTGTCACAACTGAAAAACATTAATATTCAAGCGTTTAAAAGCTAATAGTCTTTTATTTGGCAAAGAATAATAGAAATGATAACTAGAATATTAATATTAATTTAAGCAGACGCAGAAAAGAGATTGTTAAAAAAATGTTTTTTTTGAAAAGCAGAAGGGCGTACACTCCTCGTTTGACCATGACATTGCCTTTTCTTTATTTTTACTTATTTACATATTTTACATAGTGAACGAGAATTAAAAAATGAAAAATTTTGTGATTCTTTATAGAGAATTTTATATTCATCATTCTGATGAACAGAATCTTTTTCATAGTCTCTTTAAAAATAGGCATACCTGTTCTCTGTGCATTTAACCGTGCAAGATGTAACACAATGCAGCAACATTTTGATAAAAAGCGGCAGTAAAAGCGCAAGCTGAAAGATGGAAACTATAACTTGTTGGAAGATCATACAAATGTCGGAGAACTGTCATTTTGTAAAAAAAATTTTGTGTTATCTCATCCCCTTTTAGGAATCGTAATTATTATCAAGTTTCGGAATGGGTCTAGGACAGTTGCTCGCTAGAACATTTGCTCGCCAGGACACTTGCTCGCCAAAAAGAAATGTGTAACAATAAATTAGTTAAAATTTGTGGAAATTAATTTAATTCTCGTAAAATAATGAGTTATAATAAACGCTATATCCCATATTGATGAGTCTCATAAAATGATGAGTTGAAAACATGACTGATGATGATGAAAGTCAATCTGTTTGTTCGTGGGGTGAAACAGATAAATGTAAAGCTGAGTGTTATCCATGTTTAAGTGACAATTGGCTACAACGTGAATATCGTTGTGATGGATTTGGCGATGAACGGTGTCCACATGGTGATGATGAATTTTTTTGTAATTTAATTGATAAACCGTTAGATAAGTATTTTTCAATTAAACGTTTTATTAATTATGATGGTGATTATGCTATACCGCCAATAGAAGAGAAATCGTTGAAGATGTAATGTATTGTAAAAATGTAATTGTATCGTTTGAAGATGTAATGTATATGCCATATCATCAATGTCTACCCAAATATTATTTTAATCTACTCTACTCACAAGTCCCATCGGAAGAGGAACAAGCGGAATATTACGTTCGTGTCGATGCTTATCGATTAACTATGCAAGGAAGTATCCAGTATCACGGAACATGGTATTTTGACGCGAAATTCCCGTTTCTACCAGTCAATCGTTTGACTGCAATTTTAACATTATCCGGCGACATTCTTCAACGACCACCATCTATTCTCATTCATTACAGTATACGATAACATGGAACATTTGCATACATTATATTTTAAACATATTTCATTATATCAATACAATTTGACAGTTTATCATCCGGCTCAATTTCTACCATAAATGGGTTTCATTTAAACGTTTAGCGATACTGATAGCACGAGTACAAACTATTATTTCTCTATGTTGCTTCTTCAGCAGCCTGTAAATAAAATGTTAGTATATGTTCAACCAACTGAACGATGTCATCATATTCGGGAATTATTTAATCATACAATTATTTCATATCATAAATTAAAACGAACAAAATATTATTATCAACTCTGTTCAAATGCAGTATGAAGTTTCTGTTTTTTGTTGTCTATTGTTGTTTAAAGACTATTATAACGCTTTGTTTGATTCTGTTGTGTGATTCTTCTTATAATTGTTGAATTTGGGATATAGCGTTTGAGTACAAGTAATCAAGTTAATTTCCAATTTTTGGCGAGCAAGTGTCCTAGCTAGTAAATGGCCTAGCGAGCAAGTGTCCGGCTCCCATTAAAATTTCATGCAGTTTGTATTAAAAAGATTGATGTATGGACATATTTTTGAGAAGCTTGTTAATAGCTCGCTTTAAAATACAGAAAATTCTCTAACGTGTTAATGTATGAGCTTTGATTGAGTCTTTGACGACTTTCTCCATACGAAAAGTTTGAGGAATAAAGTGAATGGCCTCCGTTGAACGGGTGACGAAAAATGCTAAGAAATACTTTTTTCGAGGAGATCAGGTGCAATTTTGGAAAGTCAAAAGTGTTGGCAAGTGAAAAGGAAAGCATTTCTAATTATTTTCATTTCAGGTTATATTAGGCCATTTTCTACCACACATTGTTTCTCGTTCTGCGTTCTTTTAATCTTTTTTGATCATTCCAAAGCTATTTTTTTCGAATTCCTCATCTCTTTTCTCCGTCTGCTTAAATTAATATTAATATTCTAGTTATCATTTCTATTATTCTTTGCCAAATAAAAGACTATTAGTTTTTAAACACTTGAATATTAATATTTTTCAGTTGTGACAAGTGGCTTATCAGAACTACGACTATTATCAATTTACTGATTTTGCAGAAAATTAGTACACTCTCAATTGTGAAACTTTATCTAATAGAAACTGAAAAATCTGTGAGAATTCAATTATTTTAATGTTTAACTGAGTTGTCGTAAGTAAATCAACAACGTATGTGTACGATTTTTGAGTTTTCAGCGTTGTGGAGTGCCAGTATATCTGAAAGTTCAATTAACAGGTATAAACAACTTATCAATCGTATAGGTTAGCAGTCTTAAATTTAAACAGGATGCTTCTTCGCACATATGCAACGTATCTAGATGTTGTTCATATTTTCGAACTTCTTCAATCGAAAAAAAAATTACGAAGTTTTAGATTTATGAATTTTAATTTATTCAAATTTCTCTGAGTGATCGAAAAATTTAAAGGCGGTGTTACATTGACCTTATATCCCAATTTTTCAAAACACGATAAACGTTACAGGTGTCTATAGGTAAACAAGTATTTCACCACTTTTCATGATCGGATATTTATAGTTTGTCTTCTTTTGTGACGTATAACACATTTTTAAGCATAATTTCTAAAGGGAGGGAGTTAATTTATCCGATACTAATGGTGAAAAAATGCAAATTTTTAAAACAGTTCTTTATTTCTTTGTCCATTTTTGTCTACATAAGTGGTGTGATTGCTTACAGAATGTAGACCCAAGCCATTCCATCGGTTCTCACAGAGTTTTATTATCCATATTATTTGCTAGTACTATGATGAGAAGGAATATAGAAAATCTTTCGTAGTAAAAGTCGTTTCAGAGCACCTGGAGAGTAGTCTTGCTTCCAGGTTCAAAAGTTTATAATTATGAGACTAAAAGAACAATAAACATGCATAAACACAACAGAATACTTCCATATTCATTAGTACGTAACTGATGAATTTTCCTATAAACTAAGGCGAACTGAGAATGTTCATGTCTTGAGACTTGTACTTTTAGCAGCTTGAGTGTTCATCTTTCAATTTACGACGAAATATTTATTTGAAAAGTTTTTATTTGCAAAGCTTTCGAATCAGTAACGGTTCATCAGTACAAAAATTTAAACTAACGTATAAATAAGGATGTGCATTATGAACAGGTTCATGTGTATTCTAATTCTAATTTAATTATTTTTTAATAGGTAACATTGATAAGATTCATATGTCAATCATTTATTAATGCCATTTTTATACGCATTCAGCACATTCGTAACAACACGCACGCATTTGTTGAGCTGAATCAGGAAAATTTAAACGTTTTATTAAATACAACCTTGATGATTTTAGCGAAAAAGAGTAAAAATACTGTTTGGCGCGTACGTGCTAATTCTGACGATAAAAGACTTTTTCTCATTTAATTATTTCGATAATAATAAATAACAGGTAACTATAGTAATGATGCTTTTTGTAGCACTCTTACTCATCATTACCCTAATAAGTGACCGATGGCAATGCGTAGCTCATGTACGACTATATGAATCTAATGGAACAAGTAAAAAAGATTGTTTACATCGATTTTGGGGTAATCATATTCGTGGTGCACGGGAATTAATTGAATACTGTATCCGTTTAAATGAAACTGGATTTAATAATCCACCGGTTTCTAGCGTTAGTTATCGGTTTTCGTTCAATGATTTATATTTAAAGAATGTATCAGTAATTGATTTGTACAATTGGTTTGCACCTATTGACCTTATTGAAGAGTATCATCTCTATCTTCATAATGACGGTCCTAATCATTTTTATTATAACTGCACATCACCGTGGTTCGGTCGTTATTGCCAATATACATTTAATTCAATGCTTTCTTTTAATGATATTGTCGAACAAACATTTGATGGAAAAGAATCAACTTTGGTCCAAGATGCTATGCAGCTATCGGGTAACGGTACCTGTTATGTGCACATGCTTTGCAACTATGTTGTACCCGATCTTTGTTTGGATTGGCGTGAAATTTGCGACGGTGAGTTGTTTTAGATTATAAGCCTTATTTTCATAAGTAATGTGAGAATCCTTAGTGTATTTTTTTCTCCTGTACTGATTTCAGAGAGTTTAACTAAAATATCATCCAGAGCTGTTCTATTAGGGGGGTCATCTGACTTGCAGAAAGACCTAAAGACAAGTAAACTAAACTTGGATCCATCCTTGTCGGCTGATAACATGGTAATAAATAAACGTTGATTTAAAAGAATGGGTCATCTTTTACGTGCGATTTGAACGACAACAACTAGCTATTTTCAGGGAAAATTGATTGTTTAAATGATGCAATTGATGAAGAAAATTGTGTTGAACTGGAAACAAATATGTGTGATTTATCTACAGAGTATCGATGTCGTAATGGCATGTGTATACCAAAGACTTTTACCTATGATAATGATCTTGATTGCTTGGATTACAGTGATGAACCAACTAGTCACGAATGGGATGCATGTAAAGATCGTCGTACTAAATCATCAATGACATGTGAAGAACATTCATGTAGTCCAATGACATTTTCTTGTGGTTATGATGATTGTCTTGAAGACACACGTATGCGATTATCAACTGAACTTGAACGTAATTTTTGCGCAAATGGTAGAGATAAATTATTTCAAAAATCTCTATTAGATTTTTACTCTGACAAAATGAGTGATTACTCGTTGGTATGTTGGACATATTTAATATGTACATTTAAATTAGCCAAACAATTTAATATACTTTGCAAGTTGTTCATGCTTAGACAATGTCCATCAATTGTCTTTTTTCCAACACATCCAGTTGTTTTTGGTCATGTTTATTTTGTTTACACTTCAACAAAAACCGATTGGTTTACAAACTATGCACCGGATTATATTTGTTTTAATACAGAGTGGTGTAAGCATTTAAATATTAATATAATAAATATAAATGGTTTTAATTGTAGTCGGTATTTGCAATTTGATCTACTGGCTAAACGATATCAAGACTGGAATACATTAGTAAAAGATGTTAAAAATGTATTTCGTTCATGCTCTCATCGCCAATTACAGATTGCCCATGATAAAGATAATAAATGTCCTCATTCAACTTTAATTCCTTGTCAAAACTCGTCAAAATGTATTTCAAAACATCGGCTATCGGATGCCTATATTGATTGTTCAAACTCATGGGATGAAAATACAATTGACACGTGTAAATTAAATTTAACATATCGTTTCAAATGTGGATCATCACATCATGATGATAAATGTATACCGATAGTTCTCATGCAAGACAAACGTCAAGATTGTCCAGATAATTCTGATGAGCGTTTGGATTATCATCACTGTACTACTAATATTAAAAGTGATCTCTGTGAAAACAGCATAACTACTGAACAAATTTCATTTCAACAAGTTTGTAATGCTATTGTGGATGTAACTCAAAAGAGTAACATGACAGATGAATCAGACTGTCCACAAGAGTGGCCGTGTGAGACGCGATATAGCAAATGTAACGGTGTTTTCAACTGTCCAAATGGTACCGATGAACAGAATTGTTTTATAGATATATACAATTGTAAAAGAGGTACACATTATTGCGTCGATAAAAATTTTAAATGGATGTGTTTGCCACTCGAAAGTTTTGGCGATAATATTATTAACTGTTTTGGTTCATATGATGAACGGGCTCATTGTCGTGCTCAATATCCAAATAATCCGGAGAAACGATATCGCTGTATGAATGATTCAAAATGTATCAGTCCAACTCAGTTATGTAATTGTGTCTCTGACTGTCCATTAAATGATGATGAAACAATGTTATGTCCATGGCTTGATTGTAGTGATACTTCAGAGTTTATGTGTAGAGCGGGATGGGAAGGTAAACGATGCGACATAGAATATGATTGTCCTGGATATGAAGACGAACTTCTCTGTGACTTAATTGATATTCCACTTATTGTACTCTACTTTCGAACAATCGATTTTCTTCCACATCCAACGACCAAGACTGAACCAGCAGCAAGTGCAGTCACTAAACATTCGTTTCCATTTATTGAAAAAGAAATTATTATTGATAAAAATATTTTTTCATGGTATTGTCATCGTGGTATTCTAGTACAAACAAATCGCCCAGTTAATTATTATTGCTTTTGTCCCCCTGCATACTATGGAAATCGTTGTCAATATCAAAGTGATCGATTGAGCTTAGTTATTCGATTAAAACCATTGGGTTTATCGAATTCAATCATTGTTTTTAAATTATTTTTATTTTTACTTGACGAAAAACAAGATATTATTTCATTTGAACAAATAATGTATTATCCAACAACTGAAGAATGTTTTGCAAAATACTATACTTATTTATTATATCCCATTCAACCCAAATTAAAAACAAACTATTCAGTACGTATCGACAATTTCCTTGTTTCAACTGAACAACCAGTGAAATATATCCAAACGTGGTACTTTGACGTTCCGTTTACATTTTTGCCGGTAAGCAGAATTGTAGCTGAACTTGAATTATCTGAAAGTAGTGCTAAGTCGACAAGATGTAATGGCCTAATATGTATTCACGGCCGTTGTCTCCAATACGTTAATACTAATAAATTATTTTGTTATTGTGATCCCGGTTGGTTTGGAATTGCTTGTCAAATTAAATATGCATGTCAATGCTCACAAGGATCACTGTGTATTGGTCATATAGAATCAGAATCAAAATCAATCTGTGTTTGCCCTCTAGGTCATATTGGATCTTTATGTCGTGTTTCCTATCAACCATGCAGGCAGGAGAGCTGCGCAAATGGTGGTACGTGTGTACCATTAGATGAAAGAACATCAGGAGATCGTTGGATACCGCAACAACAGTATGCTTGTATATGCTCTGAACAATTTTACGGTCGCAATTGTGAACAAAATTCTTCTTTGATACATATTTCAATTGGAAAAGTTGAATCATCTGCCGTATTAATTCATAATGTAATTACATATGCGGAGCAAAGTCCAACTCGTTTAGTATTTTTTAAAAGACTAAGTTTCTATCAAGAAACCATAACTCTTTATTATAAACGTCCATTTGTGCCAGATTTGACATACATTCAATTATTCGATAAAGAAAATAAAAATCAATCATCCACTTATTACCTTGCTGCCTTAGTGCCCCGTTCATACGCATCAAAAAATATCTCAACAACTATTGCAGACTTTTATAGATGTCCACATATTAGAGAATTATTTAATTCAACTATATTGGCATTTCAATCGATACAACAAATGAAATACTATCAACAACCGTGTCAAATGAAACGATTCAAATGTTTTCATGATAATAAACAAATGTGCTTATGTAATAAAGATAATTATGTTGATTGTTTCGATTTTAATCATAACTTACCACATTGTGTAGAAAATCCGTGTGAAAATAATGCATTATGTCTTCAAGATGAAGAACGATGTAATCCAAAATCGATCTGCATTTGTCCAACTTGTGAGTGAAAATACTATATTTACCACTGGAAAGTAACAGAAACAAAAGAGAAGCGTGGATAAGCTAAACAGTTTTCTCTTTAAAAAAACAATCTTTTCAGATATCGAGCATGTCCGAAAGATGCAACAAGCATGTTCCATCATTTAATTTTTCGCGATTCTTCTCTCAAACTTTTGATGAATATCAAAATGTACTGAATTTTGGAACACCTTTACTCTTTCCAGAAAACATCAGGACGCGGACTAGAATACTGTTCAGAATTAGCATCATTCATTTCAAACACAACTGCAGCCTTCTTTCCTGCAAAAGTATTAAGTAGTGTCTGTTTCTTCAGATTTCCCGTTATTTTGTGCTTTAAATTGTTCAGATCTCTAACTTTGTTTTATTTGTTTTAACATGTTCCCACAAAAAGAAATTTATTGGTGTTGAATCTCGTGACTTTAGAGCCCATAAAATCGGTCCACCCCTGTCAATCTAACCGTGTCCAAAACTTTGGAGTTAAACTTTCTCAGGCTGCCTTTGACAAGTGTAACGGTGCTCCGTCTTGTTTGAAAATCATACTCTTACGTAGTTTCTTCTTCGGTATAATCTTGGAATCCCGAAAAGGCAGTCGTCTAAGTGATGTAAAATATATATGACTCGGCGATTTTTATTCTTGACCTTCCTAATCGACTGCACGTATTAAGCGATTGTCTTTTTGTGAGATATTTCTGAAATCGGCCGTTTTACATGTCAAAAAAGGCTTTACTGGATGCTTACTTTTAGGTTATTACGGTACACTTTGTCAACTGACAACAACTGAATATGTTTTGTCTTTGGATGCTATCATCGGCCCTCACATTCAACGAGGCATCCAGATTATCAATCAACCGTTCGTTGTTAAATTAAGCTTATCTATCGTTTCTATTATGTTTGCAACAGGCATTGTTAGTAATACATTAGCTATTCTTACATTTAAGCAACCCAACACGTTGGTTGTTGGTTGTGGTTTTTATCTGTTGACATCATCAATCGTTTCACTATGTACAATGTGTATATTTATTGCAAAATTTTTCTATTTATTACTGATGCAACTGCTATTGTCATCAAATCGAAACGCAATACACATCAATTGTATCCTTATAGAATTTTTACTAAAATTTTTACCTACAACAGTCGACTGGTTGAACGCATGTGTAGCTGTTGAACGAGCTGTAACAATTATTACTGGAGTCAAGTTTAATAAAATAAAAAGCAAAAAAGCGGCAAAACTAGTTGTATTTTTCGTTATTATTTCAAATATTATCAGTGCCCTACACGATCCAGTATATCGTCGTTTAGTCGATGATATCGATGAACAGCGTATTTGGTGTATAATTAGTTTTAATCAACATGCATGGTTAAAATATTACAATTCATCGATGAATATTATTCATTTTATTGTTCCATTTACAATTAATTTGATATCAGCTATTATTGTTATTACTGGTACAGCTCATGCACGATCAACAATACATGCTCAGCAATCATATGGCGAACGTTTAAAAGAACAATTCAGAGAATTAAAACATTTATTTATTAGTCCAATAATTCTTATTATGCTTGTAATACCTCGGTTAATCATTTCATTTGTCTATGTTTGTATGAAATCAATGAATGAATTATACCTATTTTTATTTGGTTATTTTATTTCATTTATACCCGCAATGGCTACATTTATCATATTTGTTGTACCATCGAATACATACAGAAATGAATTTTTTTTATCAATAAAAAATCTTTAAGCGACCACAAAATAACTCATTTTGTAGCTTACTGCTCGTACTATTTTCATACTTTATTGAACAGGTTTTTTCAAATACTGTCACATTAAATGTTGTAATAAAATTATCTCTTAGTTTTTTTGAAGTGATGTTAAGTCGAATGTTTTGTGTTCTTAGAAATGCGCATCTCAACTGGATCCAGATGTTAGATTCGAATGTCAGGTTTTATTTGCACTCAAAAGTTAACAAACTGATATTGCAATCACTTGTTCTTTTTATACACAAACTCCAGTGATTAATTTTCTCAGTTCTTGTTCACACCACTGAATCTTCAATCAAGTAAAAAACTTTAGCGCAAAACTGTAGGTGACGACGAGTTTGTTATCCCATTAAACTTTTAGACTATGAGATTTGGTGGCTATTGAAAAAATTAACTGTGTTCAGAGCTTCGCATAATAATTCTCGCCTCTCATAACTGAACAAATTTTGGGTTCCAATAATATGAATCATGCTGTGTTTTTAACAAAAAAGAAATATTCCGATATACTCTTATATAGTCATCATTTATCTCGTGGAAATAGGTTTTTAATGAAACAACACGGAGAAGCTGAATGAACTATATGTTTTGGCAATTTGAATTGAGAACTTGGCTCGAGCCGCCTCAGAGTTAACGTTTCATCGTTTACAAAACAGCTAAAATGGAGTGTATTTCTTAAGGGGGAAAAGGTGACTCCGGGAGCTTTCCGAAGCTAGGGATGCTCTCTGAAGCTTAAGATGCGAAACATCCGATGTCGAGTGATGTTAAGAAAGAAAAAAGTCGCCTTTTTCCGCTTGGTATTTCTGCTGAAGAATGTTGTCACCATGTTTCTAAAAGTTCCATTGAATAAAAGCATTACCACATGACGGAACGTTCTATATGTTTTCAGAGTGGCCAAAAGTTATTCAAAAAATAAACTCTGAACATCTTGATGTCAAGATCTTTTTTTTCATTTTACCTCGTTCAATTGTCTTTCATTATTTTAAGAATTAAAACAGTATCAGTTATTTTCTCTTTTCATTTTTCTTTCTACCACACAAGAAGAAAAACAAATACATAAATGTTTGATAGGTACGTGTATACTATTGTACATCTCATATGGTATACGTAGAAAATACAATTTTCCAATTCTAAACCGAGGTTCATACTTAAATCGCAGTTGTTTTGCTTTTTATTAAAGCTGTTCTTAGTAGGTACTTTGAAAACGAACATCCGTCTTGAAATTAAAGATGTATTCATACTCTTAAAAAGATCTTTCGGATCACTTTCTTTGAACTAAAAACAGCGAACAAATTTATAAATTCAGAATGTTTTGTCATTTTGAAGGAATCATTTTATAGAAAACAGACGATAAAACTGAATTCAATTACACTGTAGACTCTAGGTATGCACCGGTTCCAGTTAACTGGAACTGTTGATATTTTTTGTAACAAGACTGATACCGGGACGACTGCTCAAAGGTAGTTGCCAGAATCAGAAGTTTATTCTCTTTCAGAATACGTGTTTGAAAATTTTTTATCACTTGAAGATAACTTTGTTTTAATCCAGATTGTATAACAAACGTTTTTCTACGAAATGTATAAACTACAAAAAACTTCAACCGGAAAACCATTGACTTTGTTCAGGTATAAAACAACAGCAGTCCTAAAGATACTTAAAAAGAAGAACGCGTCTCTGAAGCTTCTATATATCTTACCAAACAATCACGACGAGTAGAATTTCTTTTATGTAGTGTTATGTGATATTTGCATCATTTGGCACCTTCAACCCAAGCTGCCACTCCATTTCCTTTAATCCGCCAGCCACTGTGATCAATCTGAACCAATGGGTCTTTCACTTCATGTACTCGACGGATTTGCTTCAATTTCTCCATTATAATCGGCAAATTTTATTACCAAATTTCGTTTGATTATTAAACAAACACATTCAGATGAGGTCTTTCAATAGTGCTTAAATGTACACTCGAATAAACGCTTCAATTTCTCGTCGACAGATTGGACAACTGCGAAGAGAGTGACCACAGGGAACACATGTTGACAAATGTTCGCACGGTCTACATGCCAATCTCGTTTCATTTTCCAAACAGAGAACACACGGATTTCCTCCGCTTCTCACAAACACTGGTTGAGCGATGCAAAGCATGACACAAAGTCGACACCTCCATCAGCAGTAACAAAAATATCCAAAGCATCACCAGCTTCTAACACAAAAACCGATGAAAATGCACAACCCGCATCAGAAGCTTTTTCTTCTTCACTTTAGCCATCGACGACTGCCACTACTGACAAAAACAAGTACAAACATCTCCAAAATGAGTACTCGAAAATAATCAGAATATTCGCTGAACATGAAGGAGAACTCATCAAGTCGATCAAAACTAACATCGACCTGGTTGAGAAACGAATCCAATCATTCATTTTATAATCAACAAAAATCGACTCATGATTTAACTAGCGAATCCGCATCCTTTCTGTGGTTTCAACTACTCAAAGATTTAATCATCCAAATGCTCCTGATAATCATGGGAAACGACAAATGATTGAAAAGTGTCAGGAGTATTATCATGGAAACAGGTATCGGTTGGTGAGGTTCTCTCGTAAGATAGTTGATGGTATGTCATGCGGATGTACAAATAAAGAAGTATATTACATATATTTGGGTAGAAATGATTTCCAAGTGAAGATCAGAGGATTGCGAATTGAATTGGGCGAAATTGAAGCTGTTCTATCCTCGTATCAAGAAGTCAAGCTGTGTGTTGTTCTAGCTAAAGACCACAAGAAGAAGGATACAGACACATCATCAACGAAATATCTTGTTGGATATTATGTTTCCGATAATGATATCGACGAGTCCGATTTAAAATAATTCATGCAAACGAAGTTGCCCGATTACATGATACCAAATCGATTAATGCGCGTTGAGAAAATACCGGTGACTCTAAATGGCAAGTTGGATGCAAAAGGTTTGCCGGACAGTGCGTTTTCTTGTGATGAGAAAAATTATATTGCACCTAGGAATGAATTAGAAGTCAAGCTTTGTCAAATATGGTCGGATTTACTCGGCATTGACAAGACTGGTATAACGGATGACTTCTTTCGGCTTGGCGGCGATAGCATAGGCTCACTGCAACTAATTGGTCGAATTCGGAAAGATCTGGACTTGTCCGTCTCCGTAAAAGATGTTTTCTTATTCGCGACGATAGAAAGCATGTGCGACAACGTACAAGTAAATAGTTTTAGGCGAGAAACCATAAAACTATATGAGTGGGATCGGTACGAGGAAGGTGCACTGAGTGGAGAAGTGCCACCGTTGTCAATACAAGAATGGTTCTTTTTAAAGCATTCGGTAGGTATCAACCACTGGAATCAATCATTTTTAATTGAAACACCCCCTTTTGACCTTAGCAAGCTCAAAGACTGTCTAATGAAGTTGACTGACTATCATGATGCATTCAAGTTGAGATTTAAGCAGATTGATGATAAAAGATACATTCAGTACTATGACAGTTCATCAACTACTGCTAACATTTTTCCATTGAATCATTTGGACATTCGAAATCTCGGACCGAGCGATAATGAGCACCAATTATTGAATGAAATATTGACCGAGTGGCAGAGTAAATTTGATATCGAGATTGGGCCACTTTTCGCTGTTGGTTATCTAAGCGGTTTTGCTGAGGGCAAAGCGCGAGTCTGGTTTGCAATGCACCATTTAATCATAGACGTAGTGAGCTGGCGAATAAACTGCGAAGCCTTTATGACGGTTCACTACATCTGGGCAGAAAAGGCAGTAACTACAGACAATGGTCACAGTTGGTTCAGTCGTATGCAGTACGTAAATCAGCGACCGAAGGACTTTACTGGCGTAATCTTGTGAGCAATGTACTCTGTTTTAATGATGGTTTAAGTAAGTGCAATGCGGTATTTGACAATAGACCGACGACGACTGCGACTGATATCACACTGAGTACAATTCAAACATGTAGCCTATTGAGAGACTGTCCGCATGCGTACGATGCACATATAAACGTGTTGCTGCTTACTGCACTTGGTTATGCCCTAAAAGAACTAACTCGAAATCGAATTAACTATGTGACATTAGAAGGTCACGGGCGTGAAGATATCGATGGCGACAATATGGACATCAGTCGAACAGTAGGTTGGTTTACAACGATGCACCCGGTTCTTCTCGAAATTGGCGACGATCTGAGGCGTAGTATCATGAATGTCAAAGTGCACTTGATGCAAGTGCCTAATAAAGGAATTGGCTACGGCACAATCATTGGCTACAAAGACCAAGACTTGCCACGAGTTAGCTTCAACTATCTCGGACAATTCGAAGCAGCGCCGTCGACTAAAGCAGGCAGTAGCAGTAATAATAGGGGATGGTACTTAACCAATGGAGTTGTCGGAGATGAAGTCGGCGACGATCGAGCGGACAAGGCTGCTGACGGTGACGTAATTGCTATGAATGGACTTTGCATGAAAGGTCAAATACGATTCAACATCAAGAGCAGACTGAACTCTGAAAGAACAACACAATTCGCCAATTCATTTAAATCAAAGCTCGAAGATATCATTCGCGAGTGCTTTGCTACTAAGCCGCTTAGTGAAATGGATTATTCAGATGATTTCGAGCATCCATTTGTTGTATTAAATGCTGATTCCGATAATATTTTGTTCATTTTGCCGCCTGGCGGCGGTGGCGCCGAAAGTTACTTCAATAATATTGTGCCTCATTTATCACCATATAAACTGATAGTATTCAACAATTACTATCGTAATCTTAAAGAACAACATATGGAAAAAGGCTTCTCATTCGAAACATTAGCTCGTTTATACATAAAGTATATAAAACTAATTCAACTCAACGGCCCGTATAACTTTTTGGGTTGGAGTTTTGGCGGAGTTTTGTCGTTTGAAATTTCTCGTCAATTAAATAACGCTGGCGACGAAATTGGTAATATATTTATGATCCACTCTTACTTTAACTTGAGCAAGGCTTCTTTTGAGATCGGCAAAATGCATAAAGTGGATATAGTCGATCAAATAAACTATTCATATTTACCACAGATAGACAACGAGGCGTTTGCATTAAATATAGCCAATATGAATATAAACATTGTATTATTTAAAGCTAACAAGGTGAATAAGGGGGATTTGTTGGACGACCAATTAGAATTATTCAAATACTATGTCAATACAGCATTTAATTATCTAGATACCTTAGTGAATCATAAATATATTCGACTATTTCAAATGTATGAAGAAAGCCACTTGTCTTGGGTATCTAATAAAGAGCAAATCGCCAAAATATGCAACTATTTAGCAAGCATATTAAAATAATAGATAAAGAACATAGATACGCTAGCATATAAAGTAATTTGATAATCAGTTGACTTATAAAAAAAAGTTTTGATTTACTTTAGTTTCCTTGCTCATCAAACATTACTTTCAAATCATTAATATATACATTTGTGGTACACACAATACTAATTTTATTTTAATTCTTTTACTTAGCTTACTTTTACTTAGTTTTTTAAAATTTATTGTCCAGAAATACCAATAAATACAGGTAATATTAGGCATCCAACAGCATAAACAAATATAAATAAAAATAAATGAAATATTATATCAGTTACTATTAAATCATTATTCAAAATGAACGGAATTCATCATATTCCATCATAAAAGAATTGTGTTTAATTTTTTTTTGGATTTTTTTGATTTCAAAATCTTTTATTTAAATGAAGATGTTAAAAACGGAAAGAGAGAAAAAAAAGAAAACAGGGTTTTTAAGGGGGCTTCCGTTTTCATTGGGCCACTTTACAACGCCCCATCTCCCCTTAATTTTGTTCGACGGGGCTGAAAACCCCTTTGGCGGTACCAAAAATTCAATCTGTTCTTTTTTTATTCAAAAAAGACGGGAAGCTCCACTAAAAACGGTTTTTCGTTTTCAAAATCCTGTCACTTCGTATTGGAAGATCAAAAAACAAAATTGCTCCAAAATACACCTGGAGAATACTTTCAAGTATCTGTGGTAAAATTTTCAGCCTGATTAGTCAAAGTTAGATGGAGGTCATAAGCATGCCAGGCTGAGAGGACTCTTGTTTTGCGCTATGCAGAATGCAAGAAAACGCTACGTTTTTAGCGGTCTCTATCTGCCCGGTTCGGATCTCAGGTATGACAACATTAGTTTTTCATAAAAGATACATAGTTTTATGCAGAAATGTCTGTTCTAGACGATTGTGAACCTTTCAGATTTTTGATCCATCAAATTTGTAACGATAACTTTTAAAAACTTGAAAATGTTAATGTTTGGCGCCATCCAGTGAAGTACTTAAAGGAGATAGAAGCAACAAAAATCCATCTCCATCAAACTCACCTTTGCTCTTCATTACTACCTTGGTCAACAGCAAGAACATGCGCGTGATGATCGACACCGAAGCACAACCGACGTTTATCAGTATTACGGCATTACAACGCACGCACCATAAAAAATTTCTCAATGATAACCAGAACCAAGTTTTCCTCGCCGATGGATGTACAATTCTCTGTGTTGGATGAAGTCGAATTATCGATCCAAATGGGAGACACATCGACCCAATGCCTTCAGTTGATGACGCCCTCACCAATGTGATCAATTCATCGTGAACCATCTACCCGATCTAAAAACAATCGATGTCGAATCCGACCGGTCATACTGGACGAAATCGAAACAAAGTCATCAAGAATTCTCAATTCCAACATGCATATCCGCCATTCATTCTACCACCATCAATACACGCTATCACTCACGTGCATCAATTCACTTCTATCGAAACAATTGATAAATTGAATAATCATGTACTCCAATGCCGTGTCTTTTCCTTCGACACAGAATCGGACATGAAAAAAATAAATGAAAAAAAAATAGAAATTTCTTACTTTGGAAACATCTGGTAAAAAATAGAAATATGGTAGATGATATAGTAGATGACTATAAATATGGTATTGATGAACTTTAGCTGCATCAATAAGTAATTGATTGAATCAATCATCATTTAATGCTTTTCGTTTTTTCAAAATGTCTAAGGCCATATTCATAGATTCAATCATATTATTGAATTCATCATGTATATTAGTAGATAGAAGAAGTTTATCGTTTTCTGAATAGTCTGTGAAGATTTCATGTGATTTCTATTTGATCTAGCCTCGATAAATAATAGCCTCGAACACATCAGTGGTACTGACAATCGTTGCAAATTTTTCGTTCAAATTGGCCGGTGTATTGAAATGCACCTCGTTTGCTTGAATTATTTTGCCCTCAAAATGTCGATCGAAAGTTGCTGTTGCATCTCTCACAAAGAGTACATTAAAACCGAGATTCCTGGCCATTGGCGCTGTCGTCTCGCAACAATGGTTGGTGGTGCGTCTTACAATTACTACTGTTGTCGTACCCAGTGCTCGAAGATGCACAAGAGATCTGTCCCGGTAAAAGTCGAGTTGACAGCCTTTTGCAGAAGAAGTTCATTGCTCTTGGCGAGTGATTTTGCGTACTCCCCCAGTTTCATTTCCGGCTTGAGAAGGATGGGGGCGGGGGGCGAAGAGAGATGTATCGAACCATGTTTGACGTGTATAACGGACAAGTTGGCCTTGCGAAAAACTGCTAACAGCAACGTGATGTTTTGTTGGAACTCGGGCGTGTATCGCTTGCCATTCCAGTATTGTTCATCGCGAAGGCTTTTTTGCACATCAATGACGATAAGAGCTGTTGTCGGAGAAATGACAATCTTCGACGACGTCTAAGCGAAATATCAACTAGAAAGAACATTTTCATTATTCGTCAGCTTATAGCGCTTTACATGAGCTGAGCATAGCCCAATGTAGAGGAAAGTGTGGGCTACAAAATAAAACCACTCCCAGTACTCCACGACTTTTTCAAAAAGTTACGGATTTTCAAAGTTTTTCCTTCAAAACCTAAAAAAACTCAGTTTTTTAGTTTCGTAAACTTTTCTCTCCTTTTCTGTGCATGCAAACTTTTCCTTACACATAGTCTGATAGAAGAAAGTGTTTTCTTCACAATGAGACGTTTTACAGAATTTTTCGATGAGTTTTCGCGGAGATATGAGCATCGCGAGAAATGCTCTGAAAAAAGTGACCTATGTACAAAACCCGTTTTTTCTCGAAAACTATTTTGTTGCCACCAGGCTTCATTGTGCCACATTACGACCCCCCTTAAATTTCATCCGACCGAGTCCAAAATTTTACCAGAGGTACTCAAGACACTATTGCAGGCGTAGGTTTTTGGAAGCCCTAAAAGAGGGGAGGAGTACCGTTAATCGTCTAATTTCACCTAGTTCCTCTGTTAATAGTTTATATGTCGTACATATACGTATAGCACGAACTACCATACTACTTATACTTCCAATTTTATAGCTAAATCGAACATAAGAAGTCCATTTAGCTTATAACCCCAAGAAAAGTCTAAATCCAAAATTTAAAGTCAGCTCTTCTAATATATTTCTGATACTCATCATACTATTACTTGGGAAGAGTTTAAAATTTTATTAACGGATTCAAACTGTTAACGGTTACTAATTAAAGAATCTTTAATAATATTAGGATATCAGCCAAAATTGAATAACACAGTACGTTCAGTTCCCCTTTTCATATATCCCAATGGAATTTCCAAAAAATTGTTACCCGATTCAGGAGAATAATTCATCGTTTTAATAAAATAACATCTCAAGGCATTTTTGACCTTGTGTACCGCATAGTCTGTTCATTTTTCTCGATTTTACAAAACAAGTTTTTCTCCGTCTAAAGGTGCAAGCAGTTCAAACTTCAAGTAAAGTTTTTTTTCGCGTTTTTTTTTTTACATCATATGATAGAGCGTGAGCTTCTGATCACGAAAATCTACATTTTAGTCTTAGCAAATGCTTCCTTCCAGTCGAAAAATACGAAAAACTCGAAAGGTGTCGTTTGTCGAGAAAAGCACATCTTTTTCGAAATGTGCAAAATTTTCTACTTTTTTGTTTTTTCAGCTTATAAGAATATTTTTTCCAAATTCGGCATCAAAAACTGAATACAGACAAGTTGTTAAACTGATTTTTTAGTAGTGATCAGTCAATGAATTAGCTTTATGCAATTATAAGTAACCTTCATCTGCGATTTAGTCGATCCTTGACTCAGATTTTGTTGAACTTATTTGAACCATGCTTTTAAGGCAAAGATGAAATGAATCGAGAATGAACGTACTACATTTCAGTCATACGCAACTATTAGTATTACATTCTCACTTGATAGAATTGTTACCAACTGTATCTATTGTACCGTGTATTTATTCCCAAACGCGCGTCAAACCTTAACGAAAGCTACTAATTCGCAATTCCTACTCGTTTTTAAATTGAAGTTAATCTTTTGGTCAATTGTCTTTGAGAGTTCTTCGTCCAATACAAATGCTGCTCCGCTAAACTTCCGTCCATAAAGATGTACACTCTCAAAAAACAAGTAACCCGCCAGCTAAAAAAGCACTTTAATGGACGATGAATGGGGCACTTTCAAGCATAAAAATGTGTTCCATCAAGAAAAGTGCTCTACTATTGGCTATTTTAAGTGTCCCATTCATCGCCCGAGGGGCGCTTGGTTTTCCACAGTGTGCCACGTCTCAAATTCTTGTGTATGCCTGAATGGTGAACAGTAGTGAATAAGGTAACCTATTCATGTTGAAATGGCTATACGTGAAAGAAGAGTTTAGGCTCTTAGAGTTCGAATAGTTGCTTACGAGTAACATGTAGTAGAGTCCTGCGGGTTACGACTTTTTGACAACCTATAACGTAACCTATAAAAAGTTTCACAAACTAAACCTAACCTAACCTAAACCCAACCTAACTTATTAATGTTTTTTGTAACCTAACCTAGGTTAACCTAATACAACCTTTTGCAATTTTTTCTCAAAAGCTGGTTTCAGAAGCTTAAACTTCAGCTTTGTTTCATATTGTTATTGTTGTTTATCTAGGCGTCATGACCAAAACGCACCTGTGTCCTTTTCGTTTTTGCATCCTGCATTTTTTTCTCCACCCACTGAAAAAAAATTTACGAATTCCTGCGTTGACACGCAGTAATCTGAAAAAATCCTGTGATGTTGGATATATACTGCAAGTTTTTACATCACGTTACCTCGCCGAAAATTTTCCTGCAAGTTGGTGAGTATAATTGAGTAGGATTCTTTAACACGCTCACTTTTCGAGTTTCTTTTCTGCATGATCCTGGAGGATTCTTCTCTAGACACACCATGCAGGAACTTTTACATGCGTTCATGCGATATATCTCGCAGATGCTTCACTTTGCATAGCCTGCGGAATTTTTTCCTTTCTGTTATCACTTGTAATACACAAGATATCTTAATACGCAAATCCTGCAAGGTCTGTAGGATTTTTTTATGATGAACACAACTTGTAGCTTGTGGATTTTGTCCGCCATGTCAATCTTGCGGCATTCTGCAATCTTTTCTCATCAATGTCTGTACAGGGTGAACTTGTCTGTATTTTTTATTTTTGGCAAGTTAAGTACTTCTGCATATTTTCTTGTAAAGTCATACAAGCTTTTCTCGTGTCAAATAAACTTCTGGAAATGTGTACCTTAATATTTTTAACTATAACTTATCCATGTTTTACTGAAGTTTTTAAATTATGTACCATTCAACAGAG